TTATGTGCCGGCGCCGTGGCCTCATGGAGCGCCATGGTCCCCACCAGCGTTTGCCTTGGGCAGGAGCAGTTGGTCGCACTCCGAGAGGCCCCGCTTGTTCTCTCTGTAGTACAACCAGCCCATCAGTAGCTACTCTGAAGTCGAAAATCTTCAAAGACTGTTGTCAAACATCAAAAAAAAAGAGGCAGCCTCTGAGGTGGGGAGGGGAGAGAGCCCAACTCAAGGAATAAAAAGTAGAGTCTAAACAGAAAGGGAGTTGGAAATTAAAAAAAATAAGATTGGAAGGGAGGTGGGGGGGAGGCAAAGGGAGGGAAGAAAGGGAGTCACGCGGCCGGATCAGAAGGAGCGGTAATTTATTTCCTGGCCGCACACTGCGCACCTTTGAGGCGGTGTTGTCTCAACACTGTCCTAGATCTGCCTGCTTCCCCCGCCCCCTCCCCAGCTCTTTGTACAGAAAATGAAGGAAGCTGCTGCGGGCTAGTAGCAGAACACTGCTGAGTTTGGCTGCCTGAAGCTGCTCTATCAAGGGAAAGGGAACATCTCCAAATCAAGTGCGGAATATAAAAAGGCACCGAGCTCGCCTGCCAAAAGCAGCAAACAGAGAGAACCCCCACAGCCGCCCGGCTTTCTCTCCTCCTGTCATCTCGCCCACCCTCCTCCCGCCCACCTCCTCCCCAGAGTCCTGCCTCCTTCCTCATTTCCCTCTTGCTTTGCCCTTTTCTTTGGGGTGCGGTGGGGGCAGCAGAAGGCCAACGTGGGCAGGCCAGCCTTCCCCCTGGCAGATGGGTGGGCCTCGCCTGGTGACCGTTTAGCTGCAGACCCTGCTGAGGGGACAGACAGCCTGCCCGCCTCGGTAGGAGATGGCTCTTCTCACACAGGCGGGCTCCAGGCAGCCCCTCTCCCCCACCACGGGGCTGCCTCCTGGAGAACTTGGTCTGCACCCCAGGACAGAAGCATCTAACTTGCAAGCCTGGGTGTTAGAAGTTTCCTTTATGAATACACATAGACCCCTGCTCTGTCAAAAAATGTTTGTATCATCAATACTGTTGTATTTGGGGGGTAGAGCTACTGAGGAGGGAGATGCTGGAGGTCCTCAGAAAAGCAATCTTAATATGCTAATTTTAGGACAAGCTCAGTCTGCCCCGGACTGTGCAAGGTTTCAGAGAGAGCTGCTCTGGCTACAATCTGTGCACTGATGCAGCACAGGAGCAGCAATTCCAAGTGTTAATTTTCCAAATGCAACATAACCCGTGGGCCGATTGGATTCTCGGGAAGGATTCGTGAACACAGATGCTGCTCTAAACTGGGCACTCTCCCCCCCGACCCCAGGGGTAGCACCCTTGCAACCTGCACCTCAGACCACTGCCAGAAGCACAGCTCCTGAAATGTACAGGGGCACGTGCTGGCTGCCCTCCAGGACACGAAAAGAGAAGGGAGGGCGCAGAGGGGCCCTTCATGCCATGCTGGCCTCTCATCGCAACCGCAGGAAGAAGCTGTTTGCAACCCTCGCTGCCAACACTTCACTCATTCAGCAGCATTAGGTGCAGAGCCTACGGCAGGAACTGAGCCGCGTGCTGGGGTTGGAAACGGACAAGATGCTATCGCTGCCCTCCAGGGCCTCAGGTCAGCAGGAGAAATGGCCAAGTCAATAGATACATGGATGATGGGAACGACTAAGCCATGCCGTCAACACAAGAATGTCCTAGGGATGAAATTTTCCTCCCACAAGAAGCAGATTCCTCGAGCCTCCTTTTCCTCATTCATTCATTCATTCATTCATTCAATTGATCACTCGATCAATCAACAAGCACCTATCATGTGCCAGGCACTGTTCGTTTCTGTGAACAGGGAGGCTAAGAAGAGACAAAACTCCCTGCCCTCAGGATGCTCCCACTGCGGTGGGACCAAGGAGACGCGTGGACGATCTGCTATCAAGTCCTGGTTTCCCAGAGGAACTGCTTTGGTTTCTTTCTCGTAGAGAATTTTCTTTTATGAACGAGAAGATGGGAGGGTTCAGGAGGGTCATGTCAAGCTCCCCTCTGCTCAGCATCACAACCCAACGAACCACGTAAGCACTCCTGGCTGGTCTTCCCTCCCCACCCTGTTCCCAGCAGGCCCAGCACTGCCCCTCCTACTGTCTCTATGCCCCTCCTCCTCCCACCCCTTTTCTTCGTGGCTGAAAACAGTTACCTCCCCCTCTAGGCTATACTCACCGGGAAATGAGGTAGAGACACTTGGCCATTGGCCTTCACGCTGCGATGCATTTCTCTCTGGAGCTGTTTCTTACTCCCCAAGCGGTAAGGAGGGATTCCATCTCTAAGGGAAGGGAAAAGACAGAACCCGCAGGCTCACGAGATGCTGTCAGCATCAGGATGCTCAGATCCCACCGAGACGGGGCCACACACCTCCCCGAGAGTGCACCCTGCCCCAGGGCCACGGCTGCCCCTGCGGGAAAGTCATCCACCATCACACTGCCACACCCCTGCCCATCAACCATCTCTGGAAATGGCTCCCTCTCGGATTCAGGATCCCCGGCTTGGAAAGAGGGTGGTAAGCTCTTCTCTCAGGCTGTTCTCGCAGAACTGGGTTCCACTCCAGCCAGCCCAGCCAGAGTGAAGACGCCCCACTTTACAGGTGCCCGAAGCAGGAGATCCGAAGACCCTTTTGGTCCTCCCAACAATCTGTTGCCACCACAACACACTACCCCGAATCGGGAAACCAGGTGTGCCTTATGGCGTGTACCAGGGCCAGGCCTGGCGTCAGTGAAGCTGTGTGCAACTCTCCGACCTCAACCTCCCAGGCGTTTCCAAATGTCTTCCTCGTACAAATCGCCAGCAGGGTAACCTCGGGCTTTTCCCTTCCCTCAGCTCCAATCCCAACCAACCAAGTCTCAGAGACATGACCAAGGTGGGCATCGAGACAAAGCCCCTACTCTGTGGCATTCTGTGCAGTTCATTCCAGTATCTGAGTACCTACCATGTGCTGAACCTCATTCTAGGCACTGGGCAAATGAGCAGGGAAAAATGCAGAGGTCAGCCTATGAAGCTTTATCCTAATGGGTGCCCAGGCAATAAGCAAAAATAAAAACGCAAAACCTGTAGTATGTCAGAGGTGGTAATTACCATGATGAAACACACGGCAGGAAATGGGGAGAGAGGA